TAACCTGAAACTCATCTCTGTTTTCTTTTTTACAAAGAAGCAACATAAAACAAAATCCCTTGGAGGTCATTTGTATTTTGTGATGGACTGAACCTAAAATTTCAGAGTAAGGAGGAGTTTATTTCACAGCAAAACCAGTAGCACAAATACAGCCAAAACCAATAACAGCAAAATCAATTAAAATCAAACATTTCCATACTAAAAAAAAAATCAAGGGTTATGAGACACTTATCCATAATCGTGGGCATTGACACAAACAGTATGTATTTTATGCAAATAATTCACTCCACTTCTTTTTAAATGGAAGACCTAGATGCAAAAGCCATCCATGCATTCATTGAAAATGCTATAGAGTCAGAAGATGCTTCCAAATCTCTCTTTTCAAGAGCACCTTAGAGTAGATCAGTTTCTGTGAACAGAATGTAAGCAATGGAGACTTCTTGGCTCCTGTACAGACAACACTGATATAGGGCAATTGCAGTGCACATGTGTCAATTACACATTTATTCAGCAAGTAATGAGTCAACTGTTGTGCAGTCACAAAGAAAAATGCCAGGAATTCAAGAATGAAAATGACATAGCTTCTGCTTCTGAGAAATTCAGGGATTCTTTTGAGAAGACAGAGCTCAAAGGGTTGGTTGTTACGGTGTGACTGAGATGCACTAAGAAACACATAGCAGAAAGGGAAACAGAGTAGATGGCAGATGTTGGCAATGTACAGAGACAAGCTATAGTGAGGTAAGAAGTAGAGTGGGGGGGGGGTTCACCTGTGGAAACTTTGAGGAAAAAAAAATGAGTATATCTGAAAGAGGAATGGTGGTGCACATCTGTGAACCTAGCACCTGGGTGGCTGAGGCTGGAGGATCACAAGTTCAAGCTCAGGTAGAGTGATTTAGGGAGATCCTGTCTCAAAATTTTAAAAAAAAGTCTGAGAATGTAGCTCAGTGTAAAAGCCTTGGGCTCATCTCCTGTACCAAAAAATAAATAAATAAGAAATGGGCTCTAATCATGTCTTAGTTACTTTTTCTGGTTGCTCAGGCAAAATACCTGTTGCTCAAAGTTCTATGAAGAAAGATTTCAGCTGATAGTTTGTAGAGGTTTCAGTCCCTAATCAGATGGCTACAAGGTCAGGTGGATGACAGAGCAGCATTGCAGAGGAGCAGCGCTTTATGGCAGGCAGAAGATAGCAAAAGCAAGCAAGAGACACACTATAAGTAACTAGCAAGTATCTTTCTAGCACATCCTTAATCCTAGCACCCTTAATCCTAGCATTGCACCATGAATCAAGTATACACTCTAGATCCCGTCACCTGTGATAAAGCTCCAGCTATGACCACATGAGACACTGAGGGGACATCTAAACACAAGCCATAGCAAACCATTTGTACATTTGCTGCTGGCATAAATTTTATCTTATGATGAAGGAAATAAAAGTATATTGATGACTTTGAAGCAATGAAAGAGTTAATGATATGATGACTTTTTTCACCAGTTAAATGTTTATGTTTCTTAGAATTTAGGAAATTTTATGGAAAACCAGAAGTGATAGGTATGTTATCCTTTTATTTAATATATATCAAATGCTTCAAAACATGCTAAAATATTGTTTTGAGATGAAATTTTTTCTACTACAAAATCCAGTTTTTATGACTAATTTGACTGACTGGATTTATATATAAAAATAGTGATTTCATTCAGACAGTTAAAAATAACTCCGCTTTCTGAATATGCCACCAGTCCTTTGTGAGGGTCCTTTTAGCTGGCTGGAGTGAGTCACTAAATGGAAAGTGACCTCCAGCTATGAAAACTCAAAACTTCAAACAGATCTACAAAGTCAACATTTGCATAAAAAACAGTGAAGAAAATTATCTTAGCACTTTCCCACCCTTTTTCTCATGTCATAAAAACTACTTGATTCATCTAAATTATCATTTCCAGCATTCTGTCATGAATTCCTTTGCTGTTGTATTTGGAAAAACTGGTCCACAAATTCTTTTTTAGGAGGTTTTTAATTTTTCTCAGTTTGCTTTGGGATTAGTAATGGTAGAACCAATGGTATTAGCATAAATATCCTGAGGCCAGCCTCCATTCTCTGTTCAAGCCATTTGTTTATATGGAAACTGAAATCTGGCAGTCTCTGAAAATAAACTGCTAAAGCAACGCAAAGATTGAAGCATAGATCGATCAAACTATATTTCAAAAGTCATAGGTGTCAAGAGGCAAGTCTATTCCAGTGAAAGAACTTAATTTTATTTCAGTGATCTTTTCTCCAGCACTTGTAATGCCTTATAACCCTTAGTCTCTCTTTCTGGGTAGCACCTGTTAAAAAGATCTGCCAACATACAAATATTTGAGCAGATAATAACGTCTTCCTCAGCCAAAAACTTAAGTTCTATTGCAACAGCTGGCGGTAGAATCAGTGATCTGAAAGTCATTTAGAGAGCTGAAATCTGCTCTGATGGGGAGAATGTGCAAAGACAGAACAATGAACTGACTAAAATGCTCTCTCACAAGGCCAAATTTCATGTTAAGACTGAATTGGATGGATTTATTACCATTCCAGTAGTACTAGGCAGATGAGCTTTGGGGAAAGTGTTTGTCCTTCCTTATACCAGGATGGATTTATTCCATATTTTAAATGGATTTTCTTCCTGTAAGAATAACCATCTTTTTGTATTGTGTATTTCTTATTCATTTTTAGGTGAAAGTCAAAATGCGTTTGGGAAATAAGCTCCCAATCCAGTCATTCATCACTTAATGTTGGGATACCTTCTTAGATATGCATCATTAAGTGGTATTATTCTTCTGTGAAGCAGCTGAGAGGATACTTACACACACCTAAATGGTAGTCTTAACTCTACACAGCTAGGCAGTGTAATATGGTTTATTGCTTCTAGACTCCAAACCTATACAGAATGTTACAGTACTGAATATTATAGGCAGTTTTAAGAAAATAGTATTTCTGTATTGAAACATAGAAAAGGTACACTAACCAATACGATTTATAACATGGTACACCGTCATAGGGCATCTACTATGAGTGTTTGGTAGGACTAAAAGTTGCTCTGGGGAAAAATGGGACTAGGAGGTCCTAAAACATTAGCATAAACCTTATAAACACTGTGTATTTATGTTACACTAAATTTGTAAAAAATATTTTTTATAATAAATTCACCTTAGCTCAATGTAAAATTTTACTTTATAAACTTTAATTTGTTAACTTTTTGACTTGCAGTAGCACTGACGATAAAAATAAATGCTGTGCAGCTGGTCTTCATATTTTTATTCTATGAACTTTTTTTCTACTTTTAAAGTTTATTATTTATTTATTCATGTATTCATGCTTTACTCTGAACTTTGTTTAAACACTAAGAAACAAACATAATTCTCCACCCTGCCTTACCCAGGTTCAGGATCACAATGTCCTTGGGTTCCTTCTCCACCTTTTCTCCCACTGGAAGGTCTCCAGGGGCATGGAGCTGACAGCTCCTCTAACAACAGTGCTTTTCTTCTGAATCCCCCAGCAGGACCTGCATGATGACAGCTATTCCTGAGCAGTTATTCTTTTTTTTTTTTTTTTTTTCAGTAACACATCTGTGGTGGGTTTGCTTAGTTTGTTTCTTTTTTCATCACAGATTTTCTTGTAAGCAGAAAATATACCATGAGCATTTCTCTTTGCTAAGGAAAGTCTTTAGGGTTGAGGTCCAAGTTTGTGACCTCTTTATGGAGCTTATTGAGGTCTCCAACAGCTTCTGCTAAATGCTTAAATTGACTTTTCTTGTAGGTTCTTCTTATTTTTCTTCCCCAAACATTTCCTTTTCTCTTGTCTGCCAGGGCCTGCACAGCAAGGGTCCAGGGCCTGAGCAGGGTGATGGAAGATGCAGAAAACAAGAGAACAAAGCAGGAGTGGGTGGGGCCTCCCTGCCTGCTGAGCTGGGAAGACTGCTGCAGCCAGTGTGTCACTTTATTTAAGGCATAAGGCGGGGACGTACAAACAAGGAGATGGGGCAGGGTGTCCTTGGTAATTTGTGGTTCTAATACATTCTGAGAATAGCTGACTGATAAGGCTGGTGGGAACAGGGATATGTAAGCTTGCTGTTCCTAGGACCATGTTAACTAGGACTACAGTAAACAGAGTACAAGGAACATTTTCTTGCACTCTGGGCTATTTTGGCAGGGTAAACCGGGGCACAAAGGGAGGGAAGTCATGAAGTGCAGGAGGTGGCAAGACACCTCCTGAGGGTGGCCTGATCGATATCTCCCCCTTATCTGTTTTGTAGCTCCAGGGTTGTTCAGTGCTGTTGCATGGCAAGGTCTATGGCATGCTGTTGGAGGACGCGTTGGCAGACTATGCAAAGGAAAATAAGCACACACAGGACAAGTTTGATGCCCCAAAACATCCAAAAGGAATGGTGATTTATGCTGAATGGGTTGAATCCATTTAGTAAATGTAGTACTGCTCGAGGAGCGCCATTGCGTGTGAGACTCTGTACTGGGAGGTGTTGTATATCATTTGATCTTAGCCAAAAGGCTGAGAAATGATGGATGTGTTGTATATCAATAACTCCTTGATAGAGACAGGCAAGATCAAGACTTATGTTTGTGTTACAAAAGATTCCCATCAGATGTGCCATCACCTGTTCCCAAGGCCACTGTGAATCAGTATATGGTAGGGCAGTAACACATACATGTTTACATTCAGCATGGCACTGTAAGCCCTGCCAAAACTGTAGGACTTTGACCTGATTTCCAATCCGAAGCACAGTCTCCTATAAGGCCAGAATCTGTTTCTCCAGTTTGAATTCTATATCTACTTGTTGAGTTCAGGCATAGGAGGTGTTTTTCAACAGCTGGTTGACAAAATGAGTGGTCTGAATATGTTGTGCTAAGGCCAGTGCAGAAACTGCCGCAGTGGTTAGGATAGTGACAAGTGAGGTGATACCTAAAATAATCCATTCAGTCATTCTGGGTCTACTAGGTAGAAGTTGGTTCTTGATTTCTTTCAACACTTGGAGACCCTGGTCATAATACCAGGGTCCGGAGAGGTTAGTAGGAACCATGAGAAATGATGGTCTGTACAACAACATCGTAGAGTGGTTTGCATTCAAGGTAGTAAGACAATTGGTCAAATTGCAGTTGCAATGCAGCCATGAGCCTCTATAGATCCCTCTGCCTATATGTGAGGTTTATGAATAAACTTGGGTTAGGGTAAGAGCCTGAAAAGTTGTAAATACTATGTGACCAGTCTACAAACTCCGCCTGTTGCAATGTGGTAATGTTTGAAGAGGCCAAAAACAATCTTCCTATGGTACATAAATGGGATTTGTAAGACTGCACAAAATATTATGACAAGGCCTCAAGGGGCAGGGAAAAGAGGCGTTCCTTTTGGACATAGAAGCACTATGATAGAGAAATGTTTCATCAAGAGTTCTGCCAGTGATGTTTTGAATAAGTGCAAAGTTAGACATCTGCTTTATGGATAAGCAAAAGGTACTAGGTCCAAAGCACATAGGCAGTCCAGGGGACATGCCTAGAAAGGAAAAGTTGGATGAACTTGGAGCTACATCATGGAAGCCATGGCCTCCCAGAAGGTAGGACACATTAGTGACTATCTAGTTTATGGAGCAGAAAGGGAGTTGGGAAGAGAAAGAGAGCAGAGAGGAGGCAAAGGGCCATCTTCAGGCTCGACCCGATGAATCTCCCCCTTTTCTGTTTGAAAAAGGCAGCTGCATCATGTCTGGTCATCTTTGTAGATCTCAGGACTGTATCAGGTGAAGGGAGTCACTCAGGTGCAGTCTTTGTATGGCTTCAGCAGGGGTGTCACAGCATGCTGCTTGCAGCAAATCCATCATCTTGGTCTATGGTGATACATTCTGTGATGATGATGTCCACAGCATCTTTTTATTTTCTGTTGAAAAATAAACATACCCAGCTCTATGTTATTAATTGTATTGAGCCGTTTAGCTTTTAGTTAGGACATACTTTGGCAACACTAGTGTCTAGGACATGTCTGTAGATCTGTCTTTATATATATATATTTACTTTCCATAAGTAGATCTAAAAAATTTAACACAAAAGTAACAAGATCTAATTGAGCTTGTGGAGGTAGCTGTACCCCGCCCACCTCTTTTTTGTTTATGTAATTGTGCCTTTAAGAAAAGGTGAGTATGCCCAACGATGGCTTGGCCCCATGAGTTATCCAATGGATCTATATCACAAGGACTTACACTATGTCTAACTGACTTAGCTATCTATAATAATTTCCTTTATAAAGAGCATTTGGAACTGTGGTTAGGGGAGAAGGGGCATAGTCTCAATCTAACTGCTTTGAGCTGTGAAGGGTCCATGTAGGGAAGACTGCAGTTAGGGACTCTCTTCAGGGAGCTAATTTAATAGTCCTTAAATAAAAATCATCTTGTAATTTGACAATTATAAACTCTCTATATAAAGTCAATCTAGTGGATTTTGGTAAAAAAATCTAGCACCTTTGTTGTTGCTTTTATCTATATGATCACTTGGAGTTTGTCAGCCTATAGGCAAGAATAAACAAAATTGCTTGAAAAATTAGAGCCTATAATCAAAGTATAAGTACTGAAATAAAGAAGCAGGTTGGGGAAACAGCCATGTTTAGAAACTTTTTAAAGGACTAAAATAGTGAGTGTAACCAGCTGGCTCTTAGACCCTTTTATTAATGGATGTCATCTGTGACTGGTTGTGATCAATTAGTTCTAAACATCACTGCACTCAGACCAGCCATTGGTCTGATATTTTATCATAATTTTTATTTTAATTTTAGCTGTAAAGAGATTGAAAATTTAATAATTGAACAAACAATTTTAACTAAAAATTTAAAAACTCATGTTGAGGTCTATAAATTTTACTGTAGTTTTGTCTATTGTCCTATAACAGGGATGAGTCACCCACCAGTGTAGTTGGAAACTGCCAGTAGGGGTCAGCAATTGAAGCCCCTTATTATGTACAGTTTTATTACTATGGTCTTGACTTCAAATATCTTTGGATTATACTTTTCTACTGAGTGTTTAAGACCAAGTTAAGATGAGACCTGTATTAATTAAAATTAACCTCTTGCTGTCTATCAAGGTCAATTAAGTCTCCACAGGCATTACTTTGAACCCTGTAGAGAGCTTCTCAGCTTCTGTTGTGTCAGCCATCAGGATGGGTCATGGCCTTGCTTGACCACATTGCTTCCTGTGAAAACATGGGAGATTTTTCCCTACAGGTGACACTCCTTTGGCACACTATTGGTTCTTATCTTTTTGGTGTCCAACAATCTCCCTGCTCAGGAGGTTGGGTGACTTACCAAAGTTGTAGGATCTTTAGCAAAGGTTCTTCATGTCCTGGGTTGTTTGCAGACCTTGAAAGGCCAGGGCCAAAATATTGGCTGTCTTCTTAGTCCAGTTACCTTTCTAGTTCTGGTCTCTAAACTTTAGTTGTTGAATACCCGGAAGAGCAGATCAATAACATTAGCTGTGCAATGGGAGTAGTGAACTTATTTACTATAATTTTATCTGGATATCAAGCACTTTGAAATATAAAACATAGTTAGAAGACTGTTATTATCATCAATCATGCTTATTCTAGTAGAAGTTTTGTAAAATGTTAACAAAATAACTTCAAATCAAGAGCTACACATAATATTTTAGCATGACAATCATGATGGTATTATCTTTGTAACACATAAATGTCCATCTTGTTATAAAATAGCCATTGTTAAACACACTCACTCTCCTCCAAAACACAAAAAACTCTTACCCAAATTGTTATCTTTTGATGGGATATCATCTAAAGAAAATGCATCAACTTATAAATTTACCTGTTATCATAAGTAGCTGGAGTGTAAGAAAAAGGCAAACACCTGAATCAAAAGGGGGTTATTACCATAAACAATATATTAAAATACCTGCATAGTCAGAAAGCATGTATGTATTTATTACACCAGAAAATTGACAATAATAATTATTATAATTATATATATGAAGGTTTATCCCCTTTTAGTTTGCTGCCAAAAGCATCTTTTCAGTAAAAGATGTTTTTCTCACAAAAAAATTTAATCTTTTGAAGATGACTAGTATAAACATATCACAATAACATATTTAGAACTTATCCCTTTGATGACAACCAATTCAAACATATTACAATAGCATATTTAAGAAATATTCATTGATGTAAGTTTTTTATAAGACTATGAAAACTATCAGGTTAGTCTGTTGTAAGAGTATGGAAACTGTTGAGGTCTCTCTAGTGAGCAAAGCCTGAAAAACATTTCTATGGGGCCGCTCCTTTGTTCACGAAGGGGCGTCCCATTTAGCAATCTCTATATCTAAGGGTCTTCATTAATTACTTTGACAAAGTTTATTTAATAACCTTTAAAAACAGATTGTAACAATACATTATTTGTAACCAATTAAAGTTTTGGAGAGATTACATTTAGACAACAATATATATTACATCATTTTAACCTGTTAGCAACCTGAGAGAAAAAAGAAATACATGCCTTTAAATCAAATAATCTTGGTCTATAAGCCAATTTAAATTATAAGCAAATATCTTTTAAAAAAAGTTTTAAAGGCAAAAAAAGAAAAAAAAATTGAGCTCAAAACAGCCATACAATTGGAAAAACAAACAAGACAATTTGTAAAACTAGAGTGCACTCATATATAGTTAGCCTACTTGAATTATGAGAATCTTTTATAATTTTTAGATTCATATTTGTAAATAAGACTAGTCAAAACATTTTGTAAGTCAATTAACAGAGATCTCTTATAGAACTGGAAAGAATGAAAGCTCTTAATGCCTGTAAATGCAAACCTTTTATAACAAACTTGTCTTCCGCTCTTAAAATTTTAAAATGCCCCCCCCTTCTCAGATTGTTACATTTTAAAATTGACTGCCTGCCAATAGAACAGAAGTAACCTTGAGTTCTTCATCAACAAAGTATAGGAAAGAGCAAGTTAACTCTATAAGTACAATTCAAGGATTTGCAATGCACAAGAAATGTTTTAAGCACACCAATTAAACATTAACTCAAGTTGCAACAAAGATACATTTATCAATTACCTAAAATTTGTAACTTGATCCCTCTTGTAAAAACTCTTTATGTCTGGTAGAGCACAGTTGCAGTTTCTCTGGCTTTGTTTTGGATTTCAGACCTTTGGAGACAACATCAAGCTGATAACATAGCAGTGGCCTTGGCTCTTAAAGCCAGGAGTGTTTTTTTCTCCTATTATGTGTTATGCTCTTCACAGCTTCCCTAGCTTTTTTTTTTTGGTACCAGGATCGAACTTGGGATCTTGAGCTTGCAAGGCAGGCAGTGAAACCACTGAGCTAAATCCTCGGCCCTTCCTAGCTATTTTTAATCCATTACTTGTTTTCTCATTTCCATTCTTTCCAAGGCGAGTGCAAGTTTTGTTTTTCTTAGTGTGACCACAGAACTTCCTGGTGCACTAAAGCTAAACAGTTGTCTTTATGCTTTTGCCCCACCCTTTCTGCACTTGTGATCTTAGCAACTGAAGTGGAGGGGGAGGCAGCTCAACCTCCACCAGAGGGGAAGCACTGGGGTTTGTGTGTAAGGATGGCACATTTTCTGAGAGAGGCGATTCCACCATGTGAGAGACAGCAGATTTGGCAAGCAGTTGTCCTAAAACCCAAACTAAACAGTTGTCACCAGTGGCTGATTGCTGCGGAGCACAAGATAGTGCAACTACTTTCGATTGTGCTTGCAGTGGCACAGAAATGGAAAGAGAAGCCAAGCTGCAAGCCCTGATTTGTTCTCTACATCCGAGTCTGTTTCATCTCCCTCTGAGGAGCAATTAGAAAACTCAGAGGAGAGCTCCTCTGTTGGGGCCCAGGGCTCCATTCCTCCCACTCCCACTTCATTTGTCTCTAGCCACTCGGAGGCCACTTTCATGTTATCATAACCCTGAACTACCTGTTTAAGGTGTGGCACTGCGTTTTGTACTATGTCCATGCCCTGCTCTAGGAACCAAGGATAGGTATTCTGAACCAAAGAAAGGAAAGAGCAAAGCTGATCTAGTTTTATATTAGTTCCCCTGCCTTCACTGAGGCATCCAGCATCTGAATGTACAGATGCCTTTCTTTAGAATCACTTTGTCCCATGCTTTACAACCAGTGGTCTACTCACCTCCCCTCCTTAGTGTGCGCAAACGGGGCTGTCTTCTCCTCTGTCAAATGGTAGTTCCCAGTATTCAGGCCATGTTGGCTGCCAGTTGCCACAGCCTGCACAGCAAGCGTCCAGGGCCTGAGTCAGGTGGTGGAAGATGCAGAAAGCAAAAGATAACTAAAGCAGGACTGGGTGGGGAGAAGACGGACTGCTGCAGCCAGTGGGTCACTTTATTTAAGGCATAAGAAGGGAAGTACAGAAAAGGAGATAGGGCAGGATGTCCTTGATAATTTGTGGTTCCAATACATTCTGAGAAGAGCTGACTGATAAGGCTGGTGGGAACTGGGACATGCAAGCTGGCTGTTCCTAGGAGCATGTCAACTAGGACTACAATAATCAGAGTACAAGGAGCATTTCCTTGCACTCTGGGCTATTTTGGCAGGGTAAATTGGGACACAAAGGGAGAGAAGTCATGAAGTGCAGGAGGTGGGCAAGATGCCTCCTGATCATGGCTGGATCCTGAGCTGGCTCCAGACACTTGTCTCTCCCTCAGCTGTGCATTCCTGTTTCATTTCCAATAACTCCTTATTACTCAATTTCTTAGGAGACAATTCTCAGAACTTTTCAATGCCATTCTTATCCATTCCTAGGTTAAAGTCCTTTGCCATTTCAGCCATAGTCTTGTTGTCTTTTACAACCTTCTCATGGTAGAAAGTACTCTGAAGTAATAGGTTACTCTTTGAATATCTTCCACATGCCATTCATACACTCCTTGGTGATATCATTCCAAGTCCAAGAAAACTTCTGATACATTTATAGAAGTTGGAAACCTTCCACTATATCATCAGTGTCTTCTTGGTCTGTTCTTCAGTCACAGCAATAGCTTGGGTGTTCTTTTCCCGAGGCAGTGGGCCTTAAAAGCTGCTACAGCTCCTTGGTAAGTTGGTTGTATTAAAGTGTTGGTGTTTGAAGGGAAAAACACCACACTGACATGGGAATGAAGATTACCAATTAAAGGGGAATGTACAGGAGCATTATCAACAATAAGCACATCTTTAAACATGTTATTCTCCAAGCAGTACTTGTCTAATTTACTGGCAAAGTATTTTGTGAAGACATCTTGGAAGATGGGCTGGGTCATTCTTCACTTCTTACACTTCTAATAGGGCACTGATACTCTGTGCTTATTGATATACTTAAAGGCCCAGAGTTCTCAAAGTGTTTCAATATATCGCCTACAACATTGCCCCAGTCAAGGCTGTTTTACCGTCCTTAAATGCCTTGAAACTTGGTATTTACAGTATTTGGTTCCACACGGATGAAAGTCCTTCCCCACATCCATTCCCCAAACAGGGATCTTTTATTCATACTGAAGATGTACTCTGGCAAGAAATTTTCCTCCACTATCAGCTTCTGTAGATTTTCTAAAAATTGTTCTGTTACCTTCACATCTGTATTAATAGACTAACCACTCATTTTCACATTATATAATAAAAAGTAATTCATGAAGTATTTAAACCATCCAGAGATAGCAGTCAAGTCAACATTGTTGTCAGATCTAGTTTTTTCTTTCAACACAGAAAAATAATTTTTGTTTGCTTTGGCCATAGTCATTAAAGTGTTAAGAGGACACTCTTTTTTGTCTTGTCTTTATCCTCATAATTAGCAATTGCTCCATATCTAATATAGGTAGTTTTTGAACTTTTTTATTCTCATTTCCTTCAATGAGGCAAGTCTTTTAACAGCTTCTGTCACTGTTTTCTTGTTCTTCATGATTTTCACTCAGGTGGAATGGGACACACCTGACTGTCGAGGTGACCTACTACTGACAATATTAGCAGTATATTTTGTGTGCTTAGGGGGCACAAGAAACACAACAACTGAGATTAATTCAAGCACAAGAGAAAAGGAAGCTGCCAAGATACTTATTAAATGTGAATTGCATGAGGATGCTAACAGCATAGCTTAGCATACGTTTTTACTTGTTTTATTAATAAGCAGAATGAGAATACTCTAAAATAATGCTGAAAGTACTCTATAGCAAATGCATGAACTAGTAATAGTTTATTCATTACACTTAACAAGTATGGTGGACTGTACACAATTATATGTACCATACTTTTATATGATGGGCAGCCCATCATATATGGATGTGTTTACTGATATCAGCCTTACCACAAACACCCAAGAGATGTGTGTGCTTTAATGGGACAAAGGCTACAAAATCACTAGGTTACAGGAATTTTTCAGCTCTATAGTAACCTTATAAGACCACTGTCACATATTCAGACTGTCATTGACCAAAAAATGTTGTTATGCAGCTTATGGCTGTAAATATATTTGTCAAGTGTAGTACTTTGCTTGTACAAGAAACTTCTGACAAATTAGTGAGGTTAACAGTTCTTACCGGTAAATGCAACAAATTATAGAGTTTTTTGAAACTAGAACAGATTTTAAATTATACTGTCCAGTGACATTGAAATTGCTCCAGGACAACATCTATTGTAGGAGTGCATGAATGGGGGAAGATGAGTAGGAGGTGTATAATTAAGGCTCCAGACAACTACTGTCACATCAATCAGCATAGCTTTCTTTATATCTGCTTTAAAAATTTGGTTTTCTAAATGCTATCCTGTAGGACAATTTTTTAAAAGAAATCTATGATTAAAATGCGTATTAGGCTTTCTACCACTTAATTTAAAAGATATGGAAAATGAGAGTATCTGATGTCAATTTCAGTAATATTGACTTCAAAACTTAGTAATTTCTATAATTTTCCTTCTGTTTAAAAGAAATACATCACAATTTAAGAGTACTGAAATTTGTTTTTGCTCATAGGTTCAGAAGTTTTAATCCATACTCAGGTGCATCCAATGCAGAAAAGGCATGGTGAAAGGGCCTGCCATGGGAGAAAGCTACTCACATCTTGGAAGCCAGGAAGCAGAGAGAGAAGAGAGGAACTGAGGTGAAAGATACACCCATCCTCAGTGACCTGCCTTTTGACCAACCACCATTCCCTAACGTCACATTCAACTAGACACTCCCATGATCCAATCTCCTTCCAACAGCCCTGCCTCTGCTTGTGTGAGAGCTTTGCTTGATCTAAACAGTAAAATTTGCCACAATAACACTTTCCATATTATGGTGTGGATGTATTTATGACATATTTTGGAATATCTTGAATTTTGCACCCACCATTTGAACTGGAGAATGATCAGTGCTATTCAAAGCGTGCTCATGAACCACCTGAAGTCTCTCATCTATTGTTACTAACCTGAAGGTAGACACAGAGGTTGTCAGTAGGAACATCATCTCTGTATGACTTGTAACTAGATGTACCCACAAAGCCTCAAGCATGCATAGGTGGGGCTTTTCAGAGGTGGATGGATGTAGGGTATGTGAATATGGATTAAGGGTGTGTAATAACTAAATTAGTACACTGAGTGGTCTAGCATAGTTCTTGGTGTGGATAATGGGAAGGCCCACCCTGGGTGTGGGTGGCACCAAGCAACACATTTATAACCTGAATGGAATAAAAGGAAAAGGAAGCTTGATGCTTCCTGCTTCACTGCCTCCTGTCTACCCTGCCATGGACTGTTTTTCCTCTAGATGCCTCTCTGCCATACAGCTCTGCCTTGGAGTCAGCCAAGTATGGACTGAAACCCCAACAAATTGTGAGATAAAATAAAGCTTTCCTCCTTTAACTTGTAAGTATTGGATATTGTATCTCAGCAACAAGAAAAGTAACTAAGAGAACCTCTATCATTAAGCATACTGGTTAGTTCATTTGAGGTTTCCTTTTTCAAAGCAAAAATTTCTTGATGATACTGATTTAGATTCTGAAGTAATCTCCTTGTATCTTTGTGCGTGTCACATGCCCATCCATTATTTGAGATTGACAGGACACAAAGATTGGCAGACCCAGTGGGCAGAAAAAGAGCAGCTCCACAATGGAACTGGAAATTTTGTATGCAGAAGGCAGAAGACTATTTGGGAGAGGTATATGTCTGAAATTAACTACTCAAATAATCAATAAACTAAACTCAATCAACTTCAAACAAAATGAAACATGGGTTTATATGGCAAGCATTTCAAAATGTGTATTGTATTATGATTAACACACCCTAAGAAGATGATGTTATCCTACTGATGTCAAGCCTATGAGAATCCAGCTTTTCCTAAGTTCACAAAGCAGGCATGCAATGAAATGGATATGTGAATCTTTTAATCCAAAACCCAAAGTATTGTCTTTAGAATGTAATAAGTTGGAGGTATCATCATTTATCAAGGGTTTGAGGGAAAACTTTTGAGAGAAAGAGGGAAGTAAGAGAACATTTTCTTTGGAGTTGAGAGTTAACTTTTCTTAAGGATTGGACAAGGTTTTCAAGATGAAAAATGTGGCTGGAGAAGAAAATCCCCCAGGCACATAGAGGAGGAATGTGGTAGTCATGGAGGTCTCTGTTTTTACTGTTGTTAAACCAAAAATTGCACCAGGTAGACTTAAGTAAAGAAGACTTTCTTCAGACCATTGATAAGGAGACTGGATTCGATTTCAGTGAAACAGAGGGAAGGGTGTGCTGGTGGAAAATAGTGGGGTGTGTTAAGGTGGAGATTCAACACTGGAAGAGTGTAATGCACAGAGATATTCCTGAGTTTGCAAATGTTTTTTCTCTGTGATTAGGCCATCTGTGCTTGCTAATTGGCATTACCCAAAGGAAAAGTAAACTTTCCTCTATCTTCATACAACTAGGAGTAAGTTGCCCTAACCAAAGTTGGCTTTCATTCTTTCAATTAGGATTACATGAAGGATGCATAGCTGTATTAGAATCATTAGGGAAGGAGATGTCTAGTTTCTCTCATGCAGCCACTGTTGCGAACCTCTGTGGTAGGTCATGGAGACCGGCAGATGATCAATAGAGATCCAGAGATGACTGCAGTATTGTGGTCTATGTCATTCTCATTTTTTTCTCTCCAGTTTCTTTTTACATAGTTAATGGCTGCATCATGTTATGTTACCCTGAACGTAAACCCTGTGTGTTTTAATGTTTTGGTTTTAAAAACTGCACAATAATTCATAATGTTAATCATTATAAATTATGGAATGAGTTTCTCATCCTTAAAAATTAGTTTTTAATTTTCTCATTTAGAAATAAGGCTTTATTAAATAAATTTTGTATGTCTGGTTTTCCGTATGTGATGTTACTTCCTGGGACAGATTCCAAGAAATAGAGTTTCTGAGTCAAAGAGCGAATATTCACAGAAATTATGCTTCCTAAATGTTACCCAGGTAGGTTCTATAAATTTACAGTCTCAGTAACAGTGTATAAGAAGTTACACAATTTTCACTGGCATTTAG